GTGGCTAGATATGTTTATTTAATCTTTAAAATTACTCAAATATTTAGATACGTTTCTGAATTGCCAATGGTATCTTCCAACAGAAATATTAGTGTGGAGTAATACCAGTGCAGTATACAACACTTTAGAAATATAACAAAAATAGGTTGCCTGTGTCCATCTTATCTACCATAGATATGCAAAGCCATTCTGTTGACATGAAAGACTGATCTTCATATGTATTAGAGAAAGTTCACTACTCTACATTTGCATTTCATGTGAGTTATTTCTAAAATCCATGTAGGTGTTTTATTGCAATTTGTTTAGCCTATATTTTCCACACATTCTCTTGCAAAACTTGAGTTTATATCCATGGAGTTTCTATTGATAATAAATACAAACTAACAATTATGTTCATGAAGGAAATGTGTGTATTTCTTTACAAAATAATAATAATAATAATAATAATAATAATAATAATAATAATAGGATAAAAGTGCCAACTCCAGTCTAAACATCTGGCTGATTGTGCAATCAACCATCATAATAATAAGCTACAATTCAGTGCAGGTACTCGGATGCCATTTCTGTTTCATTGGCATTCCAAAATAAGCATATATTATATAAATATAAATATAAAACATATAAATCTGCTGAAGCATGATGTTCCAATTCATCAGTATCAGTTCTTTTAAGCACTCAAAAATATTTTTTTATACTACTACTAATAAATCATTATTGTTGGTACCAATGAACAGTCTCCTTTTTTGTCATTGCGATTGCAATCTACATAGATGTTAAAACTACCCTTCAAGCAGAAGCAAACAAAAGGGGAAAAAAAACTGCACTTTCAGTTTTGCACTAACAAGAATTTCCATTTGTTTTGCCCATATTGGCGAAACAAATAGAAACAAACTCTCTTATGTTTACAATTAAACTTAATTTGAAACAAAAATTGTTTGCAGCTTGAAGTACCTTAGTTTTGGGATTGAGCATCATGAAATGCTAAAAGAAAATATTTTGAAATAAATACATTGAAGGAGATGAAGGCAGCAATGAAATAGAAGAAGAGACAGAGATGGAGATACAAGGGATTTCCACTATCCCAGAGATTTTACCCAAACAGTTAGCTAAATGTTGGCTAAATTTAATTTAAATCAATGAAATTAATTCTCAAATGTGTGTGTTCAGACCTGAGAGACCAAGAGATAAACTAGCCTAAATACAGATGCTTCCATTTAACTAGCTTATGAACTGTAACCAATGAATCAATATTTAGAAGGCACTTAAAAAAAAAGGTACGTTGTCAATTAGCATTAATCATTTCTTCCCTAATCCAGTCCTCGTTCCACACATTTCATCCCACCGCTCAGATATACTAAGTGGTGATCTACTTTCATGCAAAAAAGAAGGCCGCCTAAACGGTGACCACAGCTATACGAAAGTGAAGGGAAAAACTAAAAAGTCTCTTTTGATTGGAATAGTAATGTGAATGACGTACATAAGTCGCATAAATACATGATATGACATTCTGTTATTTGCCAAAACAAAACAAACAAACAAACAAAAACCACAGAAACGTGCTGGCATAGTTTTCCTCTCTGCAAGTTTGTGCTCTTTCTTTTTTTGAGCGGCTGTGAAGATGCAGTTCTCCTTAAATCTCTAATAGGCTTGAGGGTGTTTGTCCTCCCTCCTCCCCTTCTTTCCTTTTGGCTTTTACAATGCAAAGGGATACTATAGTCCTGAAGAATGGTTTCAGTTGTCTATCCTGAATGGCTGTCGGCATCTCTAGCCATCTAGAAAGGCTAGAAACATTTTGTAGGTGAAAATAGCCACTTTTTCCACGGTGGAGAGTCCATAAAACTCCTCAGAGCATCAGCCATTGGGACTCATTGAATAATTCATCCCTCATTGCAAGCCCATAATGTCTTTTCTGGGCCCTATTGTGGAGACTGTTTTCTCTTCTTTTCTCCTTGAATTATAAAAAGGGTGCCTTCTTTTGTCCATATCAAGCTGCTGCTAGCTGAACCTTTGTCTGGCCAAAGCTAAAGTGTGAGTTTCAATGGACTCTCCCCTCTTTGTTTTCCAAGTTCATCTCCAAGTGTAGATTGTGTATAGAAGGCTTTCTTTGTAAAAGCTGGAAAAGTTGTACAAATGTTTGACCAGCTCATTTGGTACTTTTGTCTCCTGTTCTCCAGGGCCTATGGTAGATGTGAAGGGCAAACTTTAGAGGAGGACTGTCAGGGAACCGCAGACAGCAAGTCACACAGAACATTGGCCATAGCAGGTCTGCCAACCCAGGCAACAAGTTCTTGTAAATCTACAATCTATAATATCAACAAAAGGGAACAATCTGCACAGAAGTGGACTGGGTATCCTCCTCTTCATTTAGCCAGTAACTACAGCATGGACACTTAAATACAAACATACACAAATGTGTAGAAATTAAATCTACCTTATATGATCCAGAAGACATTTCCATGCAGTTAAGTCAGTGAATGTTGCTTCCAAGTAAAACTAACTTTCCCTAATGTGAAAAATTCAATTGTTGCTGGATCTCGGAGCAAACATGCATGGGGAAAGTAGTAAATGTCTTCAGAATCCTGGACTATTCCTTAATCTAGTTACCTTCTGTACGTGTGCACACATGTGTCTTAATGTTACAAACCACCCCATTCATAAAAGTAAATTACCTAGGAATAAATGAGACTTACTAATCAGTTGACATGCCAAGAATCTACTGCACAGATATCATTTCACTCAGAGGTTTCTATTTTTGTGATGATATTGTGAAAAATTAGAACTTTCATCAAATAGTCATCAAAATTGTTTGAGATAGAGAAGTCTTGCTCTGCGCTTGAGGTGTACTTCAACCATGAACACATTTACTTAGAAATCATTTCCACTGAAGTTGTAGTCAATGCAGCTTCTCAAATAGGCCACTGTTGACAGCATCTCTTCTTTGACTTGAAGCCCTTCGGGAAAAGGGCAGGATCACGACCTTCTCCCAAGGATTTTCCTCCTCCCTTCCTACCCTGGTCCCTTTTTATTTAATGACTTCAGCTTGACTAACCCCAAATACTGGCCTGATTTAAGGACACAGAGGGGATGGGTCTCAACAGCTCCAGCCACACGATTGAGCAACTAGCTTTTCACAAAGAATTCAGACAACAAATCTTCCTCCCACCCCCCACCCCCCTTGGTCCTGCATTAGGAGCCTTTCTTCTCCAGATTGCAAAGTGTTCACAAATAACAATTGAATACTGTGAGATCTGAAAGTTGCGAAGAGGGAGAGAGAGAAGAGGCAGAACTGCATCCTTATTCCCTTGCAGGTATTTCTCCTCTCCCTAAAGCGAAATTTTCTATTACAGTGTCATGTTCAGGACACTTTCCACTGCAGGTTTGACCCAGCAAGATTGCACGCCATTTTTCATAAATACAAGTGACTCAATATTTCAAGCATGGCTATTTAAGCAACATGGAATTCTCACCTTCTCCCGGCATTTTTTTCATGCATATTGGAAATGGACTGTGGATGTCTACCTTCCAGATCAGCCTTCTACTTGTTACCAGGGAAGTTCCTCACTCCCAAGACATGAATAATAAAATAGCTTGAATTCATGAGACTTATAAAGCCATCATTGCTCAGAAAGAAGTCTTGCCAGTCACACAGGGCAAAGTCCTAGCAGCTGCATTGGTACAACACCATGCTAGGCTTGGTGACAGTTAACCTTGGTTAGATATTCAGGAGGGAGGAGTAGGCTATGGTATAAATTTGGTAAGTTCATTGTTGAGTGTATTGTGAGAATCCAGAAATAAATTAACTCAGTGTGAGTGTGTTATATGAATGCTGCCTATGTGTTTGATAGTGTGGGGAGAGGCTTGCCCCCAAAATAGACCTTAAAATTGCTGCAGGGTTTACTTGCTAGGATGGGGAATCTTGAATCTAAACATAATAGCAGCACAGCTACTGTTACCTCTAGAAAAATTAAGTCGCTCCTGAGTTAACTTCCACTGATTGTAACAACACATATTCCCAGAGAAGCAAGCATAATTAATAAACTGCATAACTTTGAAGCCTGGAACTCATTCAACAGGCACTAAAGAGCTTTAGGCCAACTAGCATTTACTAGCTACCTCCCAATAAGTAAGTTTCATTGAGTTTAATGGGACCTCCTTCCTGGATTCTAGCCTCAGAAAGTGAACCTGAATAAGAGAAAAGATAAGTGAACTTTGGATTTTATCTTAAATAATGGCCACAATCCCACCCATGTTCTCTGCTAATTAAGCCACACTGGTTTCAACACTGTCAGTTTCTGCAAATTTCTCCCTAGGTCTGGACACCTGTGTTGCACAACTGAGGAAGTGAATTCTGGTCCAGGACATAATAGTTTTTAAAGTGCCACTAGACTCTTGGTTAGCACTACAGGGGAAATGGTGTTGCTGCAATGTAAGTCATCTTAATTCTGATCCCTAAGACTGACATTGATAAAGGAGAAATCAGAGAGGCAGACAAATGCAATCATGTTTTTCAAATGCTCCACTTTTCACCACCTCTGAAAAGGCTTTCAGGCTGAGTCAACATCTATCCATATCCCTCCTAAAAACTTTGCGCACAAGAGGCATTTTTGCAAACCACCTACACCTTATAGGTCCTGAGAAAGTCCCCACTGTCCACGGAGTTTCCTAGGACTCCTGCCGAAATTGTGCCTTTCTGTTTTGTTCAGCTCTAACAGCCTCCTCTACCTTCCAACTTCTCTCCTCCACCCAAAAAGAAAAAGAAAACACACCAGATGCGCCCACCTGCAACAGCTGCCACCATCATTCAGGTTAACCCAAGGACCTCTCTCTAGATACAGTACAGCTTCCCCTCCCTCCAACCCAGGAAGTCAAGCCCTGGAGGGCCTCCTCGCTCTCGCAGCGCTTCTCTGCGGCGATTCCACCACCTCCCCCCCCCCCCCCCCCCCCCCCACACACACACTCCGCGCAACACCAAGCCTGGGGACGGCGGCCGTCCTTACCTCTTTCGCTGAGGATACCATCGATGCTGTGCTTGGCCTTTTTCTCGTTCTCCTCCGCTTCCTTCCGCTCCAGCTCCCCTTCCTCTTCTTCTCCTTTCCCAAATTTGCTTCTCAAAATGCGGCTGATGGAACTCACTTGGGAAAGAAAGAGGAAAGAAGGGACAAGTCAGGTGTGAAGCGGGGAACTGGGAGAAGCCTCACATAACCCGGCTGGGCTCCGAGTCGCCCTGGGGCACAAGACAGAAGACTAGGATGATGCTTGGAAGCAACAGTTCAGCATCCCTTCCGTTTAGGAAATGGGGCTGGGCTGATTCCGTGCATCCTTTGCTTGCGGTTTTGCGATCCTTTATAATTGGGTCCCCCACCCCTCCCCATTTCCGATCGATCGAGTGAGCGCTCACACCCTGTCTTAGTTTGCAAAAGATCCTCTTCGGCTAGTTATTGGATCAAAGTATCCTCTGAGTTTCCCCAAAACCTTGAACCATAAGACAACCGAAGAGTTGAATTTGCTCAGCTCTCAGTCTCCTGGACACGTTGCGCCCAATGCTTTTGCTGCGGGGCTTTGAAGCGACTTGGTTATGTGGGTCATATGAATGAACGCAGGCCTGAGCTACGAAGTAATCACCCACGTTTTAGCCTAGTATGTTTTACGAACCCAATCCGTGGGGCAAATGTATGGTTTAGCCTGTGTACCCAATCAGGAAAAATTGTGTTAACTGAAAAACTATGGATAAGTTCCCCAGAAGTAAGCGAGTTACGGGAACGCCGCAATAGATAGAAAAATCTATGCATTGAAGGACGGTGCACATTCCCCACCACACCAAAAAAAAAAGAAAACCCACGTCAGCCCTGAACAGCACTAGAACAACGTCAGATAATAAAAGTTTGGTTGTTTAAAAAGGAAATCTGGTCTGCCACCTAACTTAGCAAAAAGCAAAGATTGGCACGCTTTTTCGTAAAGATACTGAAGGAGGCAGCGCAGTTTTGCAGACCTTGAGGAGGTTTGTTCTCAAATTAGCGGAGCAGCAGTTCAGGGGAAACGCGATTCCTTCGAAGCCATTTCAGAGGGCAGAGTCTTCCTTCCAGGCTGCTGAACCCTCAGGACCCGCACATACCCATGCTTCCTTGAGGATCTCACTCGAGTGGAATATGTGGGGAAGAGCGAGCACGTGGTTCCCCCCCCCCCTTTTTTTTTTCTTTTTTGGTGCCTTCGAGTCCGTGCTGGCTCCGGGAGACCACCTGGACGAGTCCCTGCAGTTTTCTTGGCAAGAGTTTGGAAGTGGTTTGCCATTGCCTGCTTCCTAGGGCTGAGAAAGAGTGACTGGCCCAAGGTCACCCAGCTGCCATTATGGCTAAGACGGGACTAGAACTCACCGTCTCCCGATTTCTGGGCTGGTGCCTTAACTACTACACAAAACTGCCTTCATACATGTTCATACTCATCGCTATTAGAAATATTGTCCTACCTATATTTTAAACGTATTCCTTGAAGTACATGATGTGGGCCCCTGTAGGAATCAAAGCATTTAATGCTGCTCAAAAAAAAAAAAAAAATCCCCTTGAAAAGATTTTGCCCCAAACCTCCAAAAACCTAAAGAATAATTATTTCCAAGAATTCTTTCCCCTCTAGGCAGCCTTTATTTTCTCCTAGGAAGGATGGAAATCAAGACAGGGCTACCCTTCTTTTTCTTATATATTATACCAATATATCTCTGTGCTTCCTTTCAAGGACTGATAGAGAAGCCATCACCAATCAGTCCCTCCCGGTTTTGGTTTGTTTGTTTTTTGGTTTGTTTGTTTTGGTTTGTTTGTTTTGTTCTTTGTCTCTCTCTTCCACCCCCAATTTTCTTCAACATAATAAAACTGATAGTTAGTGGAAGATTGGAAATTCACTTCTACCAAACTGACCGAGGCCACAACAACGCGCAAGAGGTGACGATCCAGAAGGGATCTTAGCTAACGACTAAGGTAAAATATTCGTATTTTTATGATGCACATAGATCCATACATAGAAGCATAAATATGCGTGCGCGCACGCATGCATTAATTGCGGGTCTGCGACACAATCCTGCCCCGGAAAGCCCCCTTCGAGGAACGGGGGAGAAGAAAGGAAAGTTCCGCGGTTATCGGATGTTAAGTAAAAACAAGCCTCATGCCACGAAGAAACAGGTGTTCAAATGGTGATTAATCGGATCATCCGAATATATGACCTGGGTGGAGGAGATGTGCCAGGAGGCGAAGCTCGCTGGTCCTCCTCTGCTCTTTCGCCCGAACCCAGCCTGCACCGCTGGTCAAGACCGCGCCGTCTTTTCGCCCTTCCCTTTCATCCACTGCCTATAAAATAAATCCGCTGCCTATAAAATAAAGCCTGGTCTTCCGCATTCATTCCCCGCTGGCGTGGGGGGGTGGGGGATGCAGCACTGTCAATAATTTAGCTTCCCCCCACCGTGTCCCCTGGGTTTGAAACCGGGAAGAGTCCAACGCAGCGTTCAATGGATTGGCGCAAGTGCGACTCTCCAAGCCCCACCCTTCTTTCGCGACCCTCCCGTGCAAGGCCGTCGGACCCCCGGGCGCTCCCTTCTGACCCAGCCTGTGGAAGCTGGCCAGGCCATTCCCAGTTAGGCTGGGTCTGGTGCGCGCCGCGGGAAAGTGCGGTCCCACTTAGACTTATTCCCAAACAGGGTCCCTTCCAAGGCACATCCCCTTAGGAGCAAGAGTAGGCATAAAGCAGACCGCAGGTTTCCATCCAGATCCACGTTTTTCGGACCGAGGAAGGAAACTGTCGGTGGATTCCGCTGGAGACAGAGAAGGACCGGCCGGGTGCAGAACCCCAGTGTTACCGCTTTCCCGGGCGACTTACCTGAAGGCACGGTGTTTCTGTCACACACGCCGTCCTTCAGCAACTTGTCCCGGATCTCCCAACTAAACATGCCCGCGTTCTCCCGCTTGTACTCCTCGATCTTCTTCTCAACATCCGGCGTCGTCACCTGCTTTAATAAAAACAATCCAGAAAGGAAACAAGGTTTGTATTCTTGGGGGGCGGTGGGCGCGGGGAGCACGATGGAAGAAGCGGAAAAAAGGAGAAAGGGCGAAGCGAAAGAGACGACGGAGAAAGGAATATAACAAGAAGGCGAGGCTCAGTAAATCCGGCGAAGGAAACCGCCCTGCCGGGAGGTGCAGAAAAATAGGACAAACTCTAGAATCCTTTCGGGACAAGACTTCGTGTCATCAGCTTTGTAAATGGACCTTGGAGTGCCTGTCTGACCTAAAGCAGCAAAGTCAAGAATATGACACGATTCAGGGAAGACCGTTTAAAATTAGCAAGACCTCCCTAAGGATGAAAACAACAATACTCGATAATGAGGGAGTGGACAAATTAAGAATCGAGATCGATACTTAGAAAAGAAGAAAGAAACATGTCGTTTATTCTCACAAAAGGGTTCAAAGGAAAATAAACTGGCACTCAGTCCCGCCCCAAAAACTGTCCATTAAAATTAAGCGTTTCTTTTAAAGCAATAAAGATCGAGTGCAAAACCAAACCAAACCAAACCAAACCAAAAATATAATGTAATTCTATATATACATATATATAATTATATATATATTACATTATATATATTCTCTCCAAAGATGGGAGGGGGGGAGAAGAATCAACACGGGGGAGAATCCATTTAATTAATGAGATACAAAATGTTATAAAAAAGGAGTTTCGAAAGTGCAATAAAAGTTTCACTGAACAATAGCAACCACGAATTTTCCCAAAAAAGAAAGCAGAGGCTACATTTTTCTGTGCCCCCAGGAATCATTCAAAATATTATTTAACATAAACGATAGAACCCCTCTGTTGAAAATGAAACAAACGAAGAAGCTTCAACTTTCACTTTGACAGGACTACAGATGTGATATAAAGTACTTTATATTAGAGTACATTTAGATTTCAAATCTACTATTCTCTTTAAAGAGAAATGTGAGGAGAGAGGGAAGAATAGAAATCAGTATAAGATAAACTTATTAAAAGATGGAAAGTATTTTTAAAAGGAAAATCTGCTCTAGTGTAAACCTACTTCATAATTTGGCTGGTCATTTTGGTAGCATTCTAAATAAATAAATACATGTTACTAATTATATACATCTACATGTCAGAAACATTTGACTCCAAAACAATTAACCATGAAGTAAACCAACTTATTTCAGTTGGTATCTGTGTCCCCCCCACCCCCAAATCTGTTTAGAACTGAGGTGGAGTTGCAGCGGCTTAGTGAAAACTGGACTGCCAAAAAAGAAAAGCTAAAAGTATAGTTTCATTTTGGCTCAGCTCATACTCATTGGTGGCATTTGCTTGTGCCCTCGTCCTCAGGCTACTACCAGCATAAGTAATGATCCTTAGGATCACTGGACAGTGGTTCTGGTCAGGGGCTACTGTAGCAGAAGCAGGACCCGTTGCCTTGAGAAATGGAGGGCAGCCAACAAGTGCCCTGAAAGGCAAGAGAAAGTTGGGCTTCTCTGGAGTCTAATTTCCACGCTGTTTCTCAGAAACATTCCATCAGGGTTAGTGACCAACTGATTGTGGCAGACATACCAGGCCCACCTAAGTCTCTTAATTTAGGATTGGGTGACCCACACAAATTCTCTGAACAACTCTACAAGGGAAAGAAGCTAGGATAAAGGGTTATTCCGCACAGTAACAAACAAGCAAAGGTGCTTTAAGGCCAGGAAGGAGATATGCCCCTCACAATGTACAAGTCCAGTTAACGGAAGGAGACTCTACATTCCCAGTCCTGGACATCCTGGTCCTCTTCAAGGGTGGGGAAGAAAGTCTAAACAACCAGCAGAGATAAATGTGGCTTTGTTGATGTCAGAAGATGCATGCAAGCCTCCCTGCCAGGTATGGACGTGGTTGGAGGTCTAGTTGCATTTGTTGAGTGACTGCTCTGCAGGTCTGTTTGGCTTCATCCTCACTCCATACAATTATCTGAGGACAGGGCCAAATCCATATGGGCTATATTTGCACAACACACCTATAGCTATACCAAACTAACTCAATTTTCAGTGGCACAGAACACTGAACTAGGAACTAGCCACATCAGCTAGGCTCATCTGAAATACTAGGCTAATATGGAGACTCAGTTTGGAGTTCAATATAGGGTTCTCCTTGTAAAAATTACTCCTTCCTACATGGATCAGTAAAAAGAACTGCCACTATAAATTGTGTTGTCCAAACTGTGGCTTCCATTCTATGCTCATAATGCCTTGCTAACCAAAGGCTTTATCCTCATGGATTGGGTGCCAATATTTTCATGCTAGTGATTGGTATATTTTGCCAGGAAGTGAGTACCACTCTTTCCAACATGCTCAAGGGACACCACTGGCCACAATCTACAACATATAACCTGATCTGGCCTCATAGCGAAGCACTATGAGGGATTTTTCCCCACACCTTGTTGTCCATTGGGAAAAACTAGCTATTTTCAGGAAGAACTACTGTAAAACAGTTAAAAGATAAGACCAGCATTATCTTGGAGGGAAGGGTGTAAATGTGGTTCCATATCTATATGGACTATCTATATAAACCTGCCAGTACAGGGGCTGAGACAACCCACAAATAACAATAAGGCAAGGCTCATCCATAAAGTATTTGAAAGGTGGATCCAGAGCTTTAATTAATAGTACTACCGCCATTAATAGTAAAGCTAATCAGTTAAAATATAATCCCCAAAGTATATTTTGGGTGGCCCAACTCCCATTTGTTTTCAGGGGATGACTGATTTCAATTTGGGGGAAGGGGATGAAGCAAAGTTACTACAACTGCATGGAATGCGCTGAAGAAAACTGGAGGGAGAGAAGCTGATATCCCTTCTCCAAAAGTGCCAGGGTGACCGTGTACTCTCCTAAGCAACATCGTCCTTCAAGTCACCTGAGCCAACCTAAACTGTTACCAAGTAAAGTGAAACTGCAATTTTAGAGGATCCATGCCCCAAGTACCCATCGCCTGTCTGCCTCCTGAGATACTCACCTTGGGTTTGCTGCCCCCAATGGCCCCTGGCCGTATGGAGCCTGTCTCCTGGTACCTGCAGAGGATCTTGGAGACACAGCCATGCGATACTCGGAGCTGGCGGGAGATGACGCATGGCCGGATGCCGTGATGGGCCATCTCCACGATCTTGTGGCGGATATGGTTGGGTAGAGGCCTGCCATTGATAAAAACACCCCCGAGCTGATTGACTCGGCCTTGGCCCAGAGGAGTGGAGACTGGATGGAGGGAACATTAAAAAAAAAAAAAGAGAGTACTTGTTTGGGGATGAGCCAGGTACATCCAGAAGTCCTTCCACCCAAACTCCCAGAGAAGAGGGACAATGCACAGGACAGAAACATGCATAAGGACTAGCAGACCTTGAGTTCACCCTATGTTGGGAAGCTAATATTATCCTGATACCCAAATCCAAAATACTTTTCCTGGAACATGACAGTCACACACTCAAAATTAGCTAACCCAAGTTATTTATCTCAACACCATTGAATGGTTCTGTTGTGGTCACAAAATTAGCTAAAAATTGTTGAAAGCATGGACTTCAGCCTACTTATAATGCATGAGGCTACTTTAAAATGTTCAACCCATGTTATTAATTGGGGCTACTGAATAAGCCAATTCATCATACTCTTAGTAGAAAGCTGACAGCCCATTTAGCCTCTGTTCTTAAAGGACCTTCCTTCCGAATGAAACCGTTTAGAGTTCAGATTGAATAAAGTTTTTCATCTTCTAAATCTAGACAGATCAAGTCAGGATTTTAGGCTCCTACATTTAATCTGAATTCAACATCCAATAGTATTGCACTGTACCACAAAAGCCAGAAACATACATGGGCAACTTAATAAAAGAATTCTGTCCCCAGCCCTGAAAACAAACAAAAAGTGCAGGAGAGAATTTCTAAGTTAAACAGTGGGAAATTATTATAAGTACCAACTTGTAGTTGCCTGTAATTAGATCTCTGAATGTACTACTTTGGACCATTCATTTTTTCTGTATCTCAGAGGAAAAACTAAGGTTTTGTAAGTATTTGTGAATTGTGGGGTTTTCTCAAGTGTGCCAGGGTACAATATTTTTCAATTTATAAAGGGTTCTATCCAGAGAATAAGACCTGTTGAAATAAATGGCTCAAGGTCAGTACTAGGTTTAGTCCATGGATTTTACTTGATCTGCTCTAATTATATCTGAGTCTGATTTAAATCCATTATTGTTAGTTTTTAAGGAACTTTAGGACTTTTATTTAGGTTCTGTTTGGGTTTTAAAATGTAGGTAGCATTGTTCAGAAAAGGATATTGTACTGGTAGCTAGACAGATCTGTGACAAGAATATAACAGGTATCAATATTACATTCATCTGATGGAGTGAAGTTGAAGAATTGATTTGAAAAATATAGATTTAAAAAATAATTTGCCAGTCCATCACTGTGCATCTATCCATCCGCTTATGTACACATCCATTTTGTCCCAAAGCAATTTGCGCAGTGTCACACACTGTTTGCTTTGCCACCTCATGCCCCAGCTGGCTAAAGAGTTGCCACTTTGTTGCCTCTCGTGCGAGTTAATTACTTCGAATGTACATACTACCAATAGAAGAAGAAGAAGAAGAAGAAGAAGAAGAAGAAGAAGAAGAAGAAGAAGAAGAAGAAGAAGAAGAAGAAGAAGAAGAAGAAGTTGTTTCACCTGTTTTTATCTCTTTCTAAGCTGGCGAGACAAGGAGGGGGGGAAAAAAACAGCCAGTATTAATTAACAGGGCAAAAGAACTATACAACTAAAACTTTTCTACGAGTCTAAAGAAATGGAAAGCAACACAGAAGGCGGCCTCTGGAAATTGGGAGTCTCCAAAATTGCGTTTGAGTTTGTGCAGATACATTTAATGTTCTAGATTTGAGTGTGCAGGGGTGGGGGTATCCGTGAGGGTGCACAAAGAGAGGCATTGGACCGAAGTTCCTTAAATCTTACTGAAAGAAGGGAGTGGGGTGAATTGGAGGCTGAGCTGAAACAGTATGATTTCAAAGGGAATTGCTCAGTAGGAAACTTAATCATTGCTGCTGTACAGCACTAGAAATAATTAAGTAGGTTTGCTAATTCTTGTTAGAAGCAAGGCTTTCTTGTTACCAGAGAAAACTAGATAGGACTAAAGGGAAGGCCTGGTGCTGCGAACTCTTTTCTACGTAAAGACATTTTTTTCCTTAGCTGAGCTAGAAATGTAAGATCGCCATTTCAAAACGGCTATGAAGTTTCTTGGCTCCTTCACCTGCGAGGTATGGAGGTGGAAACTCTAACCCACTACGTTCAATGGCATTTAATGTGAAAAAGGAGGGAAACTGACTGGTGGAGTGCAGCTGATTTCCACCTTCTCCAGCGACATTCTGTCTTTTCCTTTCCCCTTCCTGCAAAAAATACAAAGTCAAGTAAACTAAAGCTCGCAGGGAGAAGTTGGGAAAGAGAGCATGATTTGGGGCATGCTTTTTAATGCTGCTGTATATCCCTATGCCTGATTTGCTTCCTTGGAAGTGTGCCACCTGAACTGCAGTGGCCTTGATTTTTTCCATTGGAAAGGGTGCAGATTCTCAGAGCTTTCCTCTTCACCCTGGCTCGATCCACGTGCGCAGAAAGTTGCTTCTTCAACTCCACTAACAAATTAGTTCCAGGAACGCAAGGAGACTCCAGATCCACAACCAGACCCATTTCGTCAGCCTCCCTCACCCAAACAGAGGCTGCAGGGATTGTTAAACACCCCCTCCTTTATCTCCAACTCCCCTTCCACACTCTCCTGCTGCTTCACAGTCCTTACCTTCTAACGGAAAACCACTGCGAGGATAATTCTGTCCAGGAGCTGGTCGCATCATCCTGGGGACAGCTCCACCCAGAGTTGTCATTTTGGTCGCAGCTTGGCTTTCTTAAACGTATTATATCCAAGAATTGCGGAGAAGGGGAGGGGAAGGCAGGTCAGCCCTAATAGCAAATCCGCATAGAATAAGGTGGGGGGAGGGTTAATTTAAAATCTAGAGAGATCGGGGTTTAAAACGTGAGGGGGAAGGAAAGGGAGGGGATCCAACTTGAGGAAGGGGGGAGGGGAGGCTCTTTTCTCCTTTCTGTCAGTGATATCTTAGAGCGAAAATGTGGCGGAAAAAGAGAGACGAGAGGAAGGGAAAAGTTTTGCCCGAAAAAGAGGGATTCGCAACGGCTTCAGCAGCTGAAGAAAACCGCGAACTGCCAGCCCTTGTCCGGGAAGAAGCTCGCATTGATCTCGCCCGGCTTGAGTGGCAGGCGGCGGGGATGAGTTCTCCTTGTTCTTGATTTGCAGTGAAAGGAAACTCCGCTCTGGAGTATTTATTAGTTCTTTCACCCCAAGCTTCCTTAGGATCTCTGCGTCGCGATTGGCCAGCCGGAAGACTGTCCCGTCTGGAGAAGCCCGGAGCTGATTGGACGAAAGCGCCAACTTTCTCTTCTCATCCTGACAATTGAAGAGCTCCGGCTTTGGAGTGTGACCCGCGACTCGCCTCCCTTTCCTTGATAAAGTGTCTTTCTTTCCCCTTTTTCTTCTTTGCAGAAAAATGGCTGGACGAGGGGGAAAAATGCAGGAGGGTGGGGGGGAGAGCCGGTCTATTTTTTATTTTCGGTCGGTCTGTCGGTCAGTGGGTCTTTTTACAACTTCTCTTGGCACAATGCCACCGGGGAGAAGATGACAATAGGGAAATAGCCAGCCTCCTGATTGCTTGGAGTCAGTAACTTTCTCTGCCCCCCCCCCCTACCTTTTCTGTCTTTGCTGTGAGGTTATAAATGTGCAGCTGTACGTGTTAGTCTGGGAGAAATTAAAAGAGAAACTTCGCCGTTTCTCCTGAGACGTTTCTTTGTCTTCTGCACTCCAGACTAGATTCCCCTGGGCGTGTGTCTGACATCCAGCAACATTCTCTCCCACCCCTCGCCCCCCAACCCAATCCTGATGCCCTTCCCCATTTCCTTTGGAAACTTTTCGAAGCTGCAGTTGCATTGGGGAAAATTAATCAG